ATGAAAATTTGCATATTAATGATCAAGAAACTGACTTCACAGGAAATTGTTCTAGTTTCAGTCATTGTGCAAATGTACTGTTTATAAAGTTGGGGAAACTTGCAGTCAGCTGAGACTGTAGAAGTCACTTTCTCCCACTGAAAACGCTACGTCCAGATGAACAGAATGAACCTTTTGGGGTCATCCATCCAGTTTCTTCTACTACTCTAATTCAGATAATGGGGGTGTGAAGCTTATACTATGCTGTCTTAAGGCGAGAGTCAGGGTATGCCTTGAAGAGCTCAGCCTCCATCACAGGAGAGAGAGACACACAGAGAGAGAGACAAGCATTCACACTAACATTCACACCTACAGCAAATTCAGAATCCGTAATTAACCTAACACCATCCATGTCTTTGGACTGTGAGAGGAGGAGCCACAGTAAAACCCACGCAAACACAAACACCACACAGAAAGGCCCCAGACTGGATTCAACCCCAGAGTTTGAAAAAATGTAAAAATTAAAAACTTCCAACTGAGATGAGTGTCAGGGAGATTTGTGACAGAAAGACAGCTTTAAGCGTGAAGGGAAGGATGGTAGTAAGACCTGCTGTCATGCATGGTTTGGAGACAGAGCTGGCAGGTTTAAAGATGCTGGGATTTTCCCTGAGAGTCATTAGAAAGAATAGGTATTTGGACATATCAGGTTGAGGTGTTTTACTGACAAAGTTAGAGAGACAAGGCTGAGATGGTTTGGACCTGTGCAGGGTAGGGACAGTGAAAATGTTAGACAAAGGATTTAAAATGAAGATGCCAGACAAAAAGAATAGAGAAAGATTCATGGGTGTAGCGTAGGAGGACAAGCAGATTGTTGGTGTGACAAAAGAGGATGCAAAGGACTGGGTGAGATGGATGATCCACTAAGAAGAAGATGAGGTGGAGAAAAACTAAACATCTGTGTAATTTACAGCACCTGTTTGATGCATGTGTAAAAAATGTGACCTGCTTCTAATAAGAATCTTTTAAGTGAAAAGGCACAAACACGGACTATCAGGTCTAACATCCTCATGTTGGTGTTGTTCCAGGATCAACATAATAATGTTAGTCTGGGAGCATCATTGGATCTGACGAATCACATTGTGTTGTCATATCATTGTGACTTTAGAAAAAAACAGCCGATGTCCACTCAGGAAAGAAATCAAAAAATGGGGTGTGAGGGTCAGGGTTAGGGTTGGAGAACAGGGCGGTCAGGGTTACGGGCTCAGGTTTACCATTTGGTGTGTGGTGTGAATTTATTTCCACGTGGCAAAACTATTACATCACTACAATCTCATTGGTCACTTGTGATGTCCAACCTGGACCAACATTAGCTTTGTTGATCCAGGAACAACATCGACATGATATCAGCTCGTGCTTGCTATTAATCTGTTTAGGCATCTCTGATTATCTAAGTATCAACACTAAGCAGCCAGTCACAAGCTTGCAGTTAGAGGGAGGTTTCAGATCGTGAATGCAGCTCTGTTCATAGTAAAGGCATACCCCAGGACATGCAGATTATAGTAATGGTTAATTACAGTTTAATCTGATACCTTCCAGCTGCATGTCCTGTCTTTCAAAAAGAACCAAATTCATTCCATATATTTACTTTCTGTTGATCAACTAATCTGCTAATTAAGGAGGCATTTGAGTCATGCATCACAAGATACGCGCATGAAGTGAAACTGTAGGTTTCAGTGTTTGACAAATCACACAGTTTAGTCTGACACACACAGAAGATATTAGCAGGGGGATTAAATTAGACAGTCATATGTGAGCAATCAGCTCTGCAGGGCTGCAGCTGAGAGTCAGGACGAGACCCGGCTCTCGCAGAGGACTCAGTCATGCATGATACAGTATGAGAAGCTACACGTCTTTATATACTCTGTGTTAGGAAACCTTCCAGTATATTTACAAGAGATGATTCAAATTTAAGGCAGAGAAGTTGTTTTAGAATCGCTGCACATCGGCAGAGCTGAACTGCTCATCCAAACCATGAGCGCCAAGAAGCTTATAGAGACAAATAAAACACGTTCCCGTTTTAAATTTGCATCTGCTTTGCTTCTGACAAATCGTGTTTTACCATTTATAAATGCAAATGCCTCTGAAATATCCTCAGCACATGCAGACATGTATAAGAAGCATTTCAGAGGTATAAATTGACTCAGAATCTGACGTTATTTAAGCAGAACATTATATAACCTGTTTTTTGTTTGTTTTTTCACAAGCTTAAGTTTCAGCCTTGGCTCACCTTTAATAACGCACTTAATCGTCTTTAAACTCATTATTTAAATGCACCTTGGATGTTGTAACTTTTCCTTTCCTTGGATTTTGTCCATTATCTTTGACCTTTTAACTAAGAAAAAAATCACCTTCAAACTACAAACAACTGAATGATGCAGGAAGCAGGACACAGTTGATCAACTTTTAGCGTTAATCCACCAAAATATTTGCTGCAATAGCAATCTGGGAAGTTGAAGGACAGCCAGTGTCCAGTCTGACTGTTTTGGAGTTTTGCATTGTCACATGGACCTCTGTTCGGTGACATTCAGAAAAGTCAAGGCTGCAGTGCATCTGTGAAAGCAGGGGTAGCTGCAGAAGTAACCCACCAGAGGCAACAATTTAAAAACCTTTGGAATGAAGGTTTCAATCACTGCCAGGCGCCGATTAATATGAAAGACAACTCAAAAGTTATGAGACCTGAAAATTCAAATTCTGCAAAAGCTGGATGATTTTAGGTGTTTTGGTAAAGATCTACTACAGCGACCCATCTAATATGTGAAATAAAATGACTGAAATGGTAAAAGACACTTCATCTATATCAAAACGCCACCTTGTCCTTTGTGGTCACACAGACTTTTTCTAGGTTTCAGTATATGAAGCATGGATGTCTTAAATCTCCATTCATGATGAGGTGACTAATGAAGTCATGAGTATTTCACAATCAGAGCCACTGAGGGCTGGTCTGAAAAGGCTGGGATGTTGACAGTGAACACTCAGCTTGAAGCTTCTCAACACAACTCAATTTTTCAAATACAACCTACGAATAATTACTGAAACATGCTGAAACATTTAATGAGTAGCAGTATAGAATAATGCATCGTCAGCCCAAAGCTCCTGTGTGATTTTGTATTTGTAAAAAATAACTGAGTTCCTGGAGTGTGTTTACATGGTCATTCTGCTTGTGAGGTTTATCCTGGTTATATCCAGGAAATTACGTCTGCAGAGAAACCTGCTGCTACAGGTTCCTGTATACATGATAAACACTTGTATCCTGGTTACTGATTAGTGCATGATATTTGCACAGGAACGTGTGACAGCAGCAAACACAAATTAGCAGAAAGGGCTGGTGTGACATTTCTGTAACTGTGACTGCAGGCTTTAACTCCTTCACACCCCAGAGGCTGAAATCATTTCCCTAAAAGATTGTTTGTGTTTGTGTTGTATTACTTGGCTTAATCTGCTGCAAATAGTCAGCAACACACCACCATATTCAGGTTTTAAGAAAACAGAGCAATGGGCTCATGTAGTTTTAATGAAGGATATATTTGTTCCTGAGTTTTGAATTTCTTGTGAACTGATGATTCCCCAACTAGGTTTCTTCCTCTTAAAATTAAGTTTTCCTTCCCACCATTGCCAAGTGCTTGTCTCATTGGGAGTCATGTGACATTTGGGGATTCTTTCTAATATTACAGAATAATGCACCTTGAGGCGTTTGTTGTAAATTAACACCATATGAATAAAAGTGAATTGAATTTTTGTTTTTGAGAATCCACTATGAGCTTTGTTTCCTATTTTTTTTGTAATATTAGTGAGTGTTTAGTTTAATATTGATAGAGTTTTTATTCACTTATGTTTATAAGTCTTGTGTATGTTCTACTTTGACAAGGTTCTCTGTGGTAATTTTCAATATTTTCAGTTGTATTTACAACTTTTCAGTTGTATTTAGTTCCCTTTTGCTCCCTATTCTGTTCCAGTCTAATCTCTTTAACTTGTCACGAGACAAAGAAAGACAATAACAATCTTGTTTCCCCATTCTGTTACTTCCTGTTTTATTTTGGTATTCGTTGTTCTATTCGCTGTTCGGTAAATGTTTTATTTTGGTTACTTCCTGTTTTATTTTGGTATTCGTTGTTCTCTGTGTTCCCTCTGTCTTGTTATGTTTTCTTCAACTGTGTTCTCCACCTTTTTTCATTTCCCTCGTTACCTGTCTGTACTGTCTCAGTCGTCCCTTTGTCCTTTGTCACATCGCCTACATTGTTATGTCTCGTTGCTCTGTGTTCCCTGAGAATTACATTCCTAGTTATCCCTGGTATTTATATTTCCTGGCTCTGTTTGGTAAATGTTTTGGATTTTGGTACTTTATTTATCTCTTGGTGCTAAAAGCATTACAGGTTCAGTTTTAATTGAACCTCAGTCTCTGGCATAATATTGTGCATATGTCCAAACTCAAAAAGAGATCATAGCTAGAGGTGATTCATGAAGCAACACTGTGTAACGCCACCACACTGCTGCGAGACGATTCTTTCTTCAGTTGAACAACAGAGTAAGACGTCTGATTACTGAAGCTGATTACATCAACTTGATTTCAGGAGTCACAAACATCCAATTAAACTTTCCTTCGTGTGATATCAACAATTTAAGCTGACCAAGATCCTCTTCACCTTTCAGTTTGTGAAAAACAAGTTGTGTCAGACATAATTTAAATCAGCATGTAAGATCAGATGTGGTTTGAGCAGAAGCTTGATGCAGACATGTTTGTTCTTGATTTCTTTGTTTAAATTAACTTCACTGTCCTATGGATGCCTTCAGGTTCAGGAAACAATGAATGCCGCAATAGCATCTTCACCAATATGAAGATTTCTTCCTTCAGAGCAGCTCTGCCTCTCTGATATGTTTTAAAATCCAAACACTCCCATTGTAATGTTCACCAAACACACATTATTAACAAACCTGCACATCACAATCACCTGCACTTAAGTGTCTTACCTTGTTGTCATGCTGTGCCATAACTGAGCTCCTGTGAAAAAAAAAAACACAGATGTGTTATTCATCAGCACTCACGCGCTCACACCCACTGCAGAAACTGTGGCAAAGAGAGAGCTGAGCCTGAAGGCTTAGCTATTGATTTATTGGATGATCTACATTCCTGCCCTCACCTATCGAGCTGTTGGTGGTGACTGTAAGAATATCCCCTAAACCCGGATAGGTGGTAGAAAATGAATGGATGGAAACAATGATAAAATGGCTGGAGCAAACTGTAATGTAGTTGCCACAAGCTATGATTGGGCTCTAAATGTAATATAACAACCATGTAATAAAATAATGTTAAAAGAAACATAATTTGTAGATGAAATAAATGCTTAACAAAGACCCTTTTCATGTTTCCAATCACAGGTTAATTAGATATAATCTTTTTTTCTATGTGGTGGCTGTAGCTCAGGTGGCAGAGCAGGTCAGCCACTACTCAGAAGGTCGGTGGTTCGATCCTGGCTGCATGCCGAAAATCCTTGTGCAAGATCTAACCCCATGTTTGCCTACTGATGGTCAGAGGGCCAGTGTCCTGTCAGTGCGCCCCAGGGCAGCTGTGGCTACAATGTAGCTTGCTATCAACAGTGTGTGAATGACTGAATGTAGTGTAAAGCACTTTGGGGTCCTATGGACTAGAAAAGTGCTATACAAATGCAGGCCGTTTACCATTTTTTATTGAGTGTTGATATAGTGCTAATGATTACTGTGATGTTATGAAATTATACTTAATGACGTGAAGTATGCAAAAACAGTTTTCTTTAACAGAAGTGTTAGGTGATGATAATGAAAGTTTTCTACAAAGAGAAAACTATACTGATAACATTAAACTTAAATAACTGCTGACATCAGGAGTCCAATGTGTTCAAAGTGTAATTGTGAGCAACAGTCAGGCTGATGAGTCACCATCCGCCATGAAAGATGATGCCTCATCCTCACTCATCAGGCTAATAAGCCAGGATGAAGCTGAAATCACGTAAACATCCGAACCAAATAGATTTGTTTGGTTTCAAAGCAGCCATTTATAACTCTGGTGAGGGAACATCTTGGGTTTAAGCTGAACGGCTTATTTATTTCATTTTAATTTTCCTCTTCATTTGTCAGGGATGGAAAAAACATTTATCTACTAATAAAAAAGATCCACTGTATCAGATTTAGCTGTTAGCTATTTTTCGTCCGCAGTCCCTGAAATATAAATATAAATAAAGAAATCACCAATAAATAAATTATAGTAATAAAAATGCTGTTGACATTTCAACATAATAGACCAAACATTTACCAATAATTTCAAAACCACAGACAGTATCCACATCCCATATATCCATTACTCTTTCTCATAAATATCAAATACATCTAAATAATATATAAAAGCCTTTTTAAAATCTGAGCTCTTCGTTCATTCGATGCGTCTTTTTGTAAACGTTTTATATTCTTGTCAACAGCTCTGTTAGTTTATAGGGTTTGTGCTACAGCCACATCACAATCCTCCCCTTAAACACTCCCTGGTGCTTCCTTTTTTCTCTGTCTTGTATTTGTTTGGTGCCTCCCCCCCTTGTTTGTCGGTCTGTCTGTGTTTTTGTTGTGGATGGGTGTGGGCGAGGTCTCCCTTATTTCTGGCTCCCAGCTCTGCTCATCCTGCACACCTGCCAACAATCAGCCCCACCCAACCTGTTCATCTGCCTTCCATCCACTGTGTTAACGTTTTCTCCAACCATTCCTCGCCACAATGCAGTTTCTACCTCAGTAATAGCACGTTGAACACCAAATTAGAACTTGCTTGTAGTAAATCTGCTCTAATGTTTCTTATCACAAAGCTTTCTCCATTTTTTCTTCTTCAGGAACATCACCCAGCTGCCCGCCAGTCTGCTTATCCCACTAAAACCAGCTTCAACCTCCTTTACACACTATTAAGATCTCTGTACTTGGGTTCCACCTTTACAGTTTTGGTTGTAATAGATCATTCATTCTTTTCTATATTTAGGGTATTTATTGTTTTACATCTTCTAATCTGAGTGTCTGTCGTCTTTTTAATTACCAGGGGTTGATTACTCCCACAAACGCCCCACATACATTATAATGCTATTACTAAATCTGCAGCAAAAGTGGTCCTGACAATAATCCGTCCATTTTCTCAAACACTGGATGCGACGCTGCAGCCTGCACCAGCTTTTGGTTCACAGTGACATTACACAAGACTACAGCCTGGCCCTACTTCAGCATCACTTGACGTCTCTGTCACACAATACACAGACTCCTGGGACACAAAGTCATCACTCAAAAGTGTTTAAACTGATTTCAAGCAACTTTTTGTAAAGCACCTTTACACACCTTGTGCACTTTGACAAACACTTTAGTGTCAGTTGGTCTTTTATCGGTGTCAGTATTTGTATTTAAATGGGTTTCGGGGCAGTTATGACTGAAGATCCAGAGTTATGAGATTAAGGCAAGGCAGTTCCTTACTAGTTATTCTTCTCTTTAATCGACTGATCATTTGGGGGTTACCTGCGGATCTGGACCGAATTACATCTCGGGTGGTGACCGTGATGACCAGCAGGGCCAGGAGGAAAGCCAGGAGGGTGTAGGCCCGAAACGAGTCAAAGGCCACAAACCTGCAGGGAAACAGAACAAAAGTTTCACTCACAGCAGCTCACTCAGGTTGTTGTGATGCACTCCACAGTTTAACTCTGTGGAGGTTTTAGCAGATTGATGTTTATTTTTGTGGAGCTGTTTATACAAGATGATAAAGCTTTATATTTTGATTTTGGATACATAATTTTACATCCGTGGATGTAAAAACAAAACTCACCATCTATTGTGGAGCTAAAATATTCTCATATTCTTTTGCTATAATGAAAAAATGACCCTGTGTCAGAATTTTGAGCTTTTCTGCTTTCCTTACTCAAAAAGTCAGGATGCAGAATTTTAACAGATCTGTGTAACGAAGACTTTATAACAGCAATCTATGCTTTTCCTCTTTCAGTACATTAACCACTGCAGCAGTAATATAGCAATGCTGGAATATATAAAAATACTAATACAAACAAAATTAAATGAACACTATTTGGGGTTTTAAATGTTTTTAAGTGCTTTTACTGTTGACTAATTATAAATGTAACTCTTATTTTTAGGCCATAAAATACATTTCAAACAATATATTGTAACAGAATGAGAAAAGTGAAATTTGTTCAAACAGACAAACAAACATAAACTTGACGAATTTTGTCTCATGAAGTCCCAAATTATTGTGATTTGTTTGTTTTTTTGCTCATGGTGGTAGCGGTTTGTTTTGACAATGTCCCTGATACAGACATTACATACAGAAAAATATAAGAAACATACAGAAAAATACAGAAAACAGTGGCAGCTGAGTATTTACAACCCCTTTTTAAAGATCATCATTATTATTATTAGTGTGTGAAGTATAGATGAATTTAAAAGTAACAACGTCAAATGATTTAAAAGATATAATAGAAAGAAAGGACTAAAGTTGAAATAATTACGCCTTTAATGTGGAATTACTAGGATGTCATGATTTTTTAACAGTATATTTAATATTTAACTTAAAGTCATAATAATTATTATTATTTATTTATTTTTATTAACAGGAGCTCAGTGCTGTGAGATATCCCTGCGTCATGATGCCTACCCGAACATCGCGTTGGCTGCAGCAAACAGGGCTGAAGTCCTGCATGGTCTCCGCCTCCAGCTGACCAGGCCGGTGAGGCGACACCCTGCGCGGCCGGGAAGGGTCTCCTGATCCCGGCTTGGCGGTCCGCCGGCCGCGGCCACCTGCCCACCTCCGGCGGGTCCTGCTTCCCGGCTCCCCAGCATTGAAAAACGACCGGGGTCCCTCCGCTCTGCCCCTCCGCTCCTTCAGCAGAGATGGGTGTTAAGCAAAGCGGAGACTTTACTGAGCTATTTCCGATTCTGAGGTTTCAAAATAAGTGTCTCATAACGCGTTCACTTTTTGAAAATAGTCTAAATGTTCTTTTTGCAATTAAAACGAATGCGTTTAAATCATACAGACTTATTAAATTACTTTTTATCTCAGGACTATATAGTTTACATTATTATTCACAGAGCAAAGATACATAAGTGAAACAAATGCAGTAACAAAACATATGATAACCAATTAATAAGTAGCATGAAAGTTATTTTTTAAAGAAAATAAAATGAAAATATAAGTAACTCAAAAGTGTGCTTAAGTGCTGTGTTTGAGTAAAAGTAGTGCTGCTCTGGAACAGTGCGTGCAAGGGGTGAAATTAAAAGAAAGAAATTAAATGTACAACAATTTTCTATCCTTTGTATTAATTTTTCTTATTCTAACCAAAGTGTGGTAACTTTATATTTGAAACCTAGGTTCTAGCTTCTTATAGTTGTAATTAAGCAATCATTAAAATTATTTGCATTTCTTTTTGGCTGATTTTTTTCTGCCTTTATTTTGAAAGACACAATCATCATGCTTCCTGTATAATTGTCTCAACTTAAATCAGCTGCACGCTTCAATTCCTGCCTCTTGTGTTGTTGTCGTTCAGGTTGGTGACGTCAGGTGTGTGTTCGTGTGTGTACATTTATTGGAGTGTAACGTCTTTTGTTTGTGTTTTATTGTTATCATTATATAGCCTTTGTGTGTAAATGACGGAATTACTACTATATACTGCACATGTAACTACACCTATGTTAACTGCACTAAATAAAATGGAATCAGATGTTTCTCAGCTGCCAAAGTTAAAAGACTGAAGAATAGCTGCTTGATGCTGGCCTCCACCCATCCTGAAAGAGAAACAGAAAGTCAATATTTAACTTGCATTCATCAGAGACCCATATACTATGAACAGATCTGTTTATCCCCAAACTTTAAACATGCCTGGTTTCTAAGAAATTAGCTTGAACAGCTTGGTGGCTCATGTTTGTTTTTCTGCCCACTAGTGGTAAAAAAAATCACTTGGTTGAGCTTTAAAATGAACTTCTATGAACTGTGCAATAAAACGGTACAGAAATAAGATAAATGTCACTACAAGTGATTCATGTTATTGTTACTGGAAAGCCTGTGTTTCAGTTTCCTCCCACAGATCAACAATCATGTTTGGCTAGCTGAGATTCTAAGCTGCTGTGGACCCAGAGGTGAGATGGACGCAACTTTAAGTAAAAGAAAAAACGAAACAAAAAAAAAACATATTATATTTGAACATTGAGGTACAAAATGTTGCAAGCGCTTCAGAGCTGTCAAAAGCTACAGAGCAGGTTGTTTTGGTTTTTACACTGGTTCCTTTTTCATTCCTTCCAGCATCCTTGTACCTGACAATTTTCAAAAAAAATGCATCTTTTTGTTTGTTTGCAAACTGAACTTACAAAAAAAAATCCATCTAACTCAGGGGGTGACAATAAGCTTCAGACACCAAGCTTTGTACCATCAGCTTGTTGCAGAACCATATGATTTGTTTCTTCAGCTGATTCTGCAGAAAAAGTATCGCAAAGTAATTTCCTTAAAAAACAGGAAAGAAATCCAGCAAAGACCTGACACATGACTTGGTTCAAGACTTTTGCACAGTACTGTGCTTATTATAATGACCAATATCAAAGTTTCCATAATCTTTGTGACAAACGTTTCCCTTTGCATGTGCCAGTTTGCCATTTCAGGGTAAATCCAGCCCTGAAACCACAAAACCAGTTTAGTCTTTGAAATTACTGTGTGAGACGATTGTGACTTTTATTGGGCACTTATCATTAGTTTTCTTAGTTTCGTAATTAAGGTGGCAAACAGAACAACAGCTAAATGACACTGCGTGAGAGATGGCAGACTGGGCTACCTGCCACACTCGACGGAATGAGCCCATCTTAACAAGGAAAGCTCACATCTACAAAGAGACGTTGACCCATTTTGCTCTGCTGCCTGTGCTGTTCTGGCCATAAATCAAGATCAGAGCTCACTGCCAAACCAGGATCTCCAACATGGACCTGCTCCACTTTCCACTGCTGGGTCCACTCCTTCCGTCCACACCAGTTCACCAATTCTGACACATATTTGCATCAGCGGGCCTGGTCTGAAATCATAGGTGTCTTTCATGGTAAGACATTTCTCTTTTCTTTGTTGTTTCAAACTGTTGACTGTGAATTTCAGCTAATGAAAACTGGATCGTGGGATTTAAATTTGCTGTAACCACGATGGAACCCAAATGGCTGATTTTGTGCGTTACTAGCTAACTGTTTCAGAAAACAGCAGCATTCTTACAAATAAAAAGATAATCCATAAGATTTCATGCAGAAACGTTAGCTGAAACAACCATCTGCACCCATCTAACCTGATAAATGGACACTAATACAGGAAATACTAAATAAAAACACAGGTTCTCATTTTGTAACATTATGCATGGTATTACATATGAATTTGACTCAGATGTGGGTAGATTTAGGTAGCGCTAGAAGGATTGTGAAAGATTGTTTAAAAAAAGATAAAACCATGTCGACTACTAGCTGTGAAACAGGACTTGTAATGTTGCTGACCCCATCATCCACCCCCACCTCTACAGGATCTTTGTTTCTGAGACAGGAGTGTCATTATACACATGGCGACACTCATAAAGATAGAAGTTATTTACCTGTTTAGAATTATCACCGTGGATTTAGAAGAACCAGGCATTTCTGTAGGGATGGATGAGAAAACACATTTCTGTTTTTACGTGGGCACATAATTTTGCATATTTACACACATGCTCACAAACACACACACCATAACATCCATCCATCCATCTTCATCCGCTTTATCCGGGGTCGGGTCGCGGGGGCAGCAGCCTAAGCAGAGAGGCCCAGACCTCCCTCTCCCCAGCCACCTCCTCCAGCTTATCCGGGGGAACACCAAGGCGTTCCCAGACCAGCCGAGAGATATAATCTCTCCAGCGTGTCCTGGGTCTACATCTCACCCAGGAGGCGCCCAGGGGGCATCCTTGTCAGATGCCCGAACCTTACTCTGAGCCCCTCCCGGATGGTTCATAACATACCATAGTTTATTTATATAGCATTATGGCTGACCAAAGTGTTGTACAACACAGATAAAGTTATTTATATAGAAACTCATTCAACTTTTCATGCACACTTATTTTTGCATACCATTAACAGGGAGCTGCAGTTGTTGTCTGTTTGTGTGTGTTACCTGGGTTTTATCCATGCTGCGTGTTTACAATGCCACATTATGAGGGTGTGTCTTCCTCCCAGAGACAAAAATGTAATCCATGCTACGTAAATTATTAAAGGTGAGGACATGATTTCAGGTTGGCATGTGTGTAGGCAACTAATGGTTAAGTCTACAGCAAGTGTTCAGGAAATGAAGGTAAGTCACTGCGATGTGCATGGAAGTCATGAATACAGTAGTGTGTGTGTGTGTGTGTGTGTGCATCAGTCACTAATTGGGCTGAATTTCATGGAGCAACAAAAGATCAGACTCGAAAATTCCAGCTCTGGTTTGTACAGGCTCTGCTTTGTTGTCCTTTCGCCTGTGTTTGCTGTGTTAACAGTTATGTGTCTCCCTCCCTCTCTCTGTCTCTCACTCTCTCTCTCTCTTTAGGTCTTTCTCTCAGTGTCTCTCTCACCCTTCTCCCCCCTTTTTTGTGCGGCTCATGAAAGGCTTTTTACTCCAAATGAAGCACGGTCAACCCAACTGCTTGGAGCCAAGCAACCGTCAGAGGCCAAATCCTGCGAGGGGCTTCACCTTCTCACATGTCTCTCTTCTCGCTTCACATTGAAACACACACACACACATTTTAGGAGACAGCTGCAATGAAGCCTAGATCTTCAGTGAAGAGGACCTTCATCAGTGTCTCCATCTATGGGAAAAGTACCGGTGCTGAGCTTGGACTTGAGCTTTTGGTTGGATTTTGCGTTTGATCTTAGAGTTGGATAAAGTTTGAGCACAGGATGATGCTAGAGATGCAAAACCCCGAGGATAGTGGTGGTGGTGTTGGAGGTTCTAGCTTTGTGGACATGCTGGGCACTGAAGAGATGGAGTGTAAGATCTGCTACTGCGCCTACAACCTGGGGAGTCGAAGGCCTAAGGTGCTTGAGTGCTGCCACCGTCTCTGCTCCAAATGTCTCATTAAGATCCTGGATTTGGGTGAGTCGCCTCCCAATGCCTTGGTGTGTCCGTTTTGTCGCTATCTCACTAGACTGCCGGGAGATGCTGTGAGCAACCTGCCAGATGACTGCAACCTGGTGGCAACGCTGGCCCTCCAAAACAGGAATCAGAGAAACCGGCAGTTCCACCAGGAGGCAACTACGGAGCTGCTCCTAAGCCCCATGCGCCTGAGCTCACTGATGAGCAGCAATTCACCTGTGATATCTACTTCCTCCTCCACATCTTCCTCTACCCCTTACTCCACCATCCGCAGTTCCCCTAATTTTGTGGTCATTACTATCATGGAACCTCCGCCCGCATCCATATCCACCCAAGACATCCATCCCTACCAGCAGATGCATGGCTCTCACCTGTCAAACCAGGACTACCACTCATCCAGTCAGGACTCTATGGCATCCATCGCAGAGAGGTGGACAGTGTGGAACTGTGCAGCCCTCCTGTGCCAGACTTCAGCCCGGGCATTGGTATGGGTCCTGGGGCTCTTGTACTTTAGCTCCCTGCCTATGGGGGTTTACCTGCTCATAATGCAGAGGACAACACTTGGGGTGCTTCTGGTGAGCCTGGTTCCTGCTAGCCTCATCGTGATCATGGTCTATGGGTTCTGCCAGTGTATCTGCCATGAGTTCTGGGACTGCTTACCATCATAATGCAACCAAATGAACAGGCAATGCTTTGCTTTGAACATGCTTGACAATAGATCTCCAGAATTGACTAATGGGGATGTTACTGTGTAGCTAACCATGTGAACTGTTATTTGAATGGCATAAAGGTGGAGCTCATACATCTTAATTTGTGCAGTTTTTAGGCTGATAATTTACTTACCTAATAAAGCTCAAAATGTCAGATAGCTTCGACTAAAACACTACTTCTGAAGTCACTGTTTAATGTAATGCAATATGATGTTATAGTTCAAAATCTAAAGGAATGTACAGGCTGTTCTCATCTCCACATTGGTGTGGCTGATTTACATACATGGTGTCCTCTTTAACCTGTTCCCTGATACATCAGGTTAGCTATTAACCAACAAGCTTTCTTCCGAGTGCCATGAGTGGCAAACATAAGGTTTGAACCACAGGTGGGTGCAGCTCCTGTGGTCACAGCCAGAGCTGTGCACCTGAGATGATCATATCAGAGCTATCCTGTCATCGTGCAGAGTGAAGATTAAAAATAAAACTGACAGAGTATTTAGATCAGGCTGAACTTTTGGCTGATTGGGATTACTTTCACATGACTAACATCATCATTTGAAAATTTGGCCATGTTTAGGCACGAGCATCCGCCAGTGTAGCAGTACATATCTGAAAGAACATGAGAAAAACACAATAGGTACCTTTAATAGAGATATAATATGTAAAACGCAACCTGCAGATCAGCAGCAGAGATCTTAAACGTTGTCTCTGAGATCTTAGATTTGATCTTAAACACACTCATTGCTTGTGTAAGAGGGACAAATCATTTTGTTCCGATTAAAGCCCTGCCAGCTAAAATGATTAATTCCCTCAAATAGAATAAAAGGAGGCATAATAATAATAATGTTTGCTGATAACTAACATTGGAGGGAAAAGCAGGATCTAGCTGATATAATTAGTCAAACATTAAGCTAGTGGGGGTTTTTTAAAGACGTGGGATCTCTGCTGTTAACGTCTATTCACAGAGTACTGTATTATTAGTCTGAGCCACCAGAGGGTGCTGTGACCATCCACCCCAACATCCACCTTCACTGCTGAGGTTTTGCTGGATGTCCTGTCCTTGCAAAAGTCTTTATTTCCAGTGTCTTTATTCAGGCTGTTAATCCTTGCAAAAAGATGTCAGCTAATGGAGTGACTGATAACTGACAGAACAGCTCTGTCAATTAAAACAGTTAGAATCTGCTTCAGACCAGCTCAGATTGTTGTTTAAGATTTTGGTGCAAATGTAACAGCAGTGTTTACACTGTAAGTTTGAAAGTCAAATTAACAGTCATGTTTTCATGCTTACTTGCTATTGTCTGGAGCGGAGACGTCTGGAGAGATAACTGACTGAGAGAGCAAAGTCAAACACAAGCTGATAAATGAGTATGAGAAGAATAACATTGTACTGCTATCGTTTGTGGCTTATTAAAATAGTCTTTAACCTCTGATGGCATTTTTTGTTTTACCTTAATATAATAATACAAATACAAACCTTTTAAAAGGTGCCAAATTGACTACCAAATCACTCATTATTTTATCTTGTACTGGGTTAGACTAGTTTTTGTCTTCAGATCTACCTTGGCATAAACTGAGCAAGATGTTGGAACTTCTTCTCACAGATTTTAGTCCATATTGACAAGATGGCATCATGCCGTTGCCACATGATGAGAATCTCCTGGTTCTTGTATCAACAGTTCTCCCTGAACCGTTGATAAGGCATCCATGTTATTATGTTCCATCCATCCATTTTCTTCTACTTATCCAGTTGTTTACACCAAATTCTGACCTTCTCATCTGAATGTTGCAGTGTTGTCAATCAGACGTTGTCTTGACCACATGTTAAAGTTTAAATCTGTTGAGCTGAACGATTGGTTAATTAGATATTTGCATAAGCAGTTGAACAGGTGGATTTGGCACCAGGTGGTATTCCTGTCACAACTCCAAAGGGTGCCTGCAGCTGGAATTGAACCAGCAACCTTCCACATATCAAGTGAGTGTGTTAACTTCTACAAAATCATAAATTTTAATTATGCGTTTTAATTCATGTGATTAGTGGAGAAGCATAAACAGCATATTGTGACGTATATATATGCATAAAAACATGGGCTTTATTACATCGCTCTACAGCGTCACCATTGGTTAGAAAGCGAGCTTTAAATACCACTTTATTTGATTATTCTGCTCTGAATTGCTTTTTAGAAACTTTTATTCTTTATTTTCTGTCAGTTTTATTCCTCTTTATTTTGCAACACCCAGAACTTTTTCATGTAAAATCAGTACAAACTAAAATGTGATCAATTTGGAATATTGTAATGGATAAATACAGAATTAAATTACAACAAAAGCACTGAAGCTAAGCCTTGCTGTGGCTCAGTAGAAGAAGAAGGAAGAGGGTCAATCCCACCACAGCCCTTCTGTGTGGAGTTTTGTTTTTATTTTCGGGGGTTCTGGTGAATTCTGTAAAAGAGACTCTTAATCAGTTTCCCTTCCTGGTTTAATATCGTTCAAAAGGACACACCAACCAGAGATTCTCAATGTGTGAAAATCATTATTTCTGTAAAATGTTGCTGTTGATTTAAAATACTTTGCTTGTACAAACTGTTTTTATAGCTTATTTTGCTATGATCCTGGTTTATACTGCATTGATGTGTCATTAGCCTTTTCGTGTTTGAGCTGCTGAATATAAGATGATAACAGAAAATATCCCTCTCTAAAAAAAACAATTAGGATAGAATAAAGAGCTTCAGTTTATAGATGAATACATTTTCCACCAATGGTTTCAAATCCGAGCTTTCATTTCTGTTGCACTATTATTTATTCATTCATTTGTTTAAGACACTGAGGAGCTGTTCCCAGCACAATTTGTACCCATTCTGCTTCTACAGCACACGTCTTGCTGATGATAAACAGCCAAGGCCTAATGTGTGTGTTTTCCAGGGGATGTGAATGTGAGCAACTGCTTCCCTACAGGGAGCGTAACATCATTTCAGATTCCTTTTTAGTGATGCAACGAACATTCCCACATGTTGGCGCGAGGGACATTCACAGACCATGTGAGCCAAACAAAACAAAACAAAACAAAAAACCCTTTTCGTTTATAACAGTGATCAGAGCTGCTGGAAACACAAACAAGACAAAACACGATCTTTAAAACAACTGTTTTTAGTTCACGGGCAGGCATGAATTATGTATTATTGCCAAGCTTTTGTTTTACTTTCTGTCTGTGTGTGTTTTGACTGAGCTGGTTTCCTTTAATTTAACTATTAAAATATCAACTAACAGGACTGGATTAGTGCTGAACTACACAGAGAGGCCCCACACAAAAATATTCTCTGTTAATTAATAGGTAATTTGATTAGCTGCATGTCAGTTTAAAGTTCAAAACTCTGATGCTAAATACTATGTACTGTAATGTTTATAGGCCCTTTAAAAAATACAAGTTTAGGGAAAAATTATTACATAAAAAGTCCACATTAATCATAAGATACAACTTTATTAACACTAAATTTAAAAACCACCTTTCCTTAAACATCGGCTACATAATTACCCCTCACTGTCTCTGGCCTGTATTTGTACAGCCACCATCCATCCCAACCACCTCCCTGATTAGCCCATAACATTTTCTCACAACAGGAAAACACTGCAAAATAGCAACGCAAATGGTAAGAGGTCGTCTTTAAATTTACCTGATAAATTCATAGTACACATTGCACATTAAATTCGTGTTTATTTAACAGTTAGTTACTACTTGAAGCACAGTAAACTCTGAAGAAAGTGCTAATATTTTTTCAGAGAAGGAAAAGACACTTGTACCTAGTGGAGGCCGGGGTTGGTGAAAGGGATTTGGTAAAAAAATGCAACTCACTCCGACCTTAATCAAGATTTTGAACTTTTTGTTTATACCCTAAACGTAGAATCATTAGTATCAACCTTTACTCCACTTTGATTACCTGTGCAATCGACTACATGTTGCATTCAGTTACTGTGTGCAAGTTACATGTGCTGTAATTATGTTTAACTTCTGCCCAGTGAGGCTACCAATATGTATCACTGGGGCATCACTGTTTACAGTCTAGCAAAAATAGAAATACAGAGTTGTAAACTGAACATAAGAGCAATTTCATTTAATAAACTTCTTCATGTTAACAAGTATTTAATAAAACATCTTTTATAAAGTAATACGGGTTCAGTCTCGTTCACAGTAAAAAATTCTATATAAACAAATAAATGTATTTTAATGAAGCAAACAGTCATTGATATGATGTAGTAATTAGATGTCAATTAATATTTAAAAAATTGGCAAATTAAATAAGATTAGCACCAATAACCCCCTGGCTGTCAACATGTGTGAGACTGCAGGCAAAAATAAAAATGCAATTAATGTGCAGTACACTGTTAATAAACTAGAAGAAGGCACATCTATAGATATGTTACTTACACACTGAACTACTGTAATTAATTATTATCAAGCTTCTCTATAAGCTCTCTGAAAATCCTTCAAGTGAGAGAAATGCTTCTAATGTTATAGAGTAGGGTTGCTGGAGGACTGGGGTTTTTTATTCATGTGGTTCTGTAGTGGAGTGGTGTACATGTTTGACAAACAAGTGTAAGATACCTGGTTTGATTCCATGAGGAAATGCAAGGTGAACTGAACCAGGAGTCCTGACAAGACCCCCCTTTGGTGTTCTGGGTATTTGGTAGCCACCATGGCCCAATCAATCATGCAGTGCAATTGGCCATGGTGACTACTTTTGAATATGGTGCAGCTGAAAGTAGCTTTTTTTTGTCACTTATGATCTCTCCATGCTCCTCTTTTCTGGATTTCCTTTCCATCAGTCCCCCTACTTGATCACCACAGATAGCTGCCCTTCCCCAAGCCTGGCTTGAAGTCTCTTTTTTGTTAAACAAGAGTTCTTCCTTCATTTGGTTGCCAAAAGCTGCTTGTATGCTTGTTTATATTATTAAAACCGAAATAAGTGATGCCTTCAAAGGGTGGTTAGCACCTGCACCTTGTGTTCAAATCCAGCCTTTCCTGCCTCTCCTGTATGTTCTATGTATGTTCTCCTGCATGTTCTCCCTGTGTCTTTGTGGGTTCTCTCTGGGTATTCTGGCTTATACCCAAAGTAGTGGATATGGTTAAGTTAGTAAGTGGTAGATAAAAGAAAAAAAAAACTTCCACAAATAAGACCATATAGATTTTTCACCTTACACTGTTAAAGGATATTAAAAAGAAAGACGTATAATTAAGTGTAAATCTAGTTTATAAACATCAATAATTAAAATGTAATAATAATGATAGAGCTTAAAAACTGAAAACAATGATGATGACACTAATCATGAAGACTTGCTGACAGTGTTAACCTTGTAATCTACTGATAAGATAGTTTTTAGCTCATTCTGTGTATTTTCTTCACATTCCCATAGGAAGTGAGTGGAGCTGTTTTCAGCCAATCAGATCAGCGGATAATGCTCCGACAACAAACAAAAGATCGAGGCTAGCCGAGCTCATCATACTTTGTCGATCCGTCTAGGCTAACGTTAGTAGTTACTTTGCCCCCAGCACCGACTAGCTCCCTGTTTTTTTTTTTTTACTTCTTTGCTCAGATCCCGTGGGGCAGTCTCATCCTCTTGTTTCTATTTGTGTTTTAGTCAGACCTAATGTCAACCTGAGTCATTTTCAGCGATCGCTTCGCCTTTGCTGGCCAAGCTAAACGCGTTAGCCAGGTTAGCTGCTCGGCTAACCAGCTCTGGCTGCCTCTGCAACAACCAGCGAAGCCAATTAGCTTAGCCTCCTAGCTTGCTAGCTTTGCTAACTCCCCTTTAAAACTTGACACTGACGGACACAAGTGGCTCTGGCTTGTTGCTGACAAGCCAGTTTACTAAAACTCGTGTCGTAGCCATGTCTGGACAGTCATCCGGCGGTGGGTTTCTGATGTCGGTAGTTGTCCACGGAGACTCGGCTCTGAACGAGCAGGAAAAGGAGCTCAATCAACGGCTCCGACGGCTCTATCCGGCCGTTAACGAAAACGAGACTCCACTTCCCCGATCCTGGAGCCCGAAGGACAAGTTCAGCTACATCGGACTGTCTCAGAACAACCTCCGTGTACACTATAAAGGTATGACAGAAACCCTTAATCGGGAATTTTTGTACTTGTGTTACCAAATGCTAACGACATGTTAGCTTAGCTTGACGGTTAGCGGATCAAAGCCAACTGCAGTTGAGGCTAAAAACAAAGTCTGCTAAGCTAGCAGCTTCACCAACAACAAGACAGAGGACATCTTGCAACCCGACCAGCTGGCGAGGTGTAGCCACAGCCAAAATTGACCTACTAGCTTGTTAGCTTTCCTGCTACCTTGTGAGACAGCTCGTCAGCTCCATTTATAGTCACCGGGAAGCTTTCACGACAGACAACCTGGCCAACTCTCTTGTGAAATATATATTTTAAAAAAACATCCTTAGCCAAATTACATCTGATGGTTTGGGTGCCAAAATTACAACGTTCAGTGTTATCCAAAATGAACCAGAGCTTGACAACCCTCTGTTAGGCTAATGTAACATTATTTTATTTATTATTAATTGTCAGGAAATGCTGTGTCAAATATCGTGATTATCCCGGTCAGAGGCTCTGCTAGGCTTCCAGTGAAGTGGCTAGTGTTGATACGATATGCAGAGATAGTTGGACTAGTTTCTATCTAGAGGGCTTTTTCTCTTTCTTTTCTTTTTTTTTTCTGGTGCAGGCCTACAAGAAAAGGCTAGTGTGTTGTTGTTGTTGTTGTTGTTGTTGTTGTTTTGTTGTTGTTTTTTTAAAAAAAGGTGCAACTGCTTCCTGGGTGTGTACTGCTATTCTGTGTCTGTCTGGCCCTCTGCACACACGCTTCCTTGTTGCAACTAGAATGTTCTGCCTTTGTGCAACAAATCCACCTGAATTTCTTACAGCAGCTGCAACTTTAACATTCAAACACTGTAAAACTTTTACATGTACTGACCTCCAGGGAGCAATTCTCCACTTACTGAACAGTTTATTCTAACAGCAGTGTTAAGCTCTAAAATTCAGGCCTTCTGTGATTAACCATGTTTTAACAGAATGCCATAGTTGTAAATGGAAACCCTTTGATTTTAGTTAGATGGGTTTTGGTTCCAATTCCAAATATAAATTCTCATATAAAACCCTCTGAAAAGATTGTTCTGTGAGTTCTACTGAAACTAAATGTCAGCTGTGTCCAAAGGCCTACCAGAAATGTAAAATACATTGTAATGTAAAATAGCAAATACTTTACAAACTGACATGTCAGTTATGTAAACTTTTTTAAAAAAAATAAACATATTCACATTTCACATGGTTAAATGCTAATATTTAGTGGTATAGTTGGCTAGAAAATGAATAATTCTTTGGTGGGTTAAGATTTTGTTTTGGAAGATTACATTTATCTGACATTTTATGGACAAAAGCATTAATTCTATATTTGAGAAAATAATGTTTCATATGTTAATATAGTAATAACAGAAAAATGTCATCAGAGCAAGAGAGAATAGCATTGGTGTTACTCAGTGATATAATTCACATTTGTACACCTCACACCCAAAGACTGTTTTAAACAGCTTTACTGTGCAGAAGTTTGTATAACAGACAATACTTAAAAGAACAGTAGAAAATCTACACAAGAAAAGTTATTATTCTGTAGACACTGTGTTACCAATTAACCGCTCTGTAATAATGTCTGTAATTAATGATAATGATAATATTAATACAGGTTATTTGTAATCTCACTTAATAATTAACATGGTCTTTGTTTTTAGTCAGTACTGATTAATTTATTGATCGGTTCATTTACCCGACACTAATCGTTTAGCTATTTTGGTTACAGATGAATACGTTCAAGACTTGTGTTTGCCAAAAATGGAAACCACTGTTAATTCTGGGTTCAGAAGTGTTCTTGTAAGCTGATCATCTTTAAACTTTATATAATTATAAAGATTAAATGATTGAGTTGACTAATAATTTTAATGATTGTGTTTTCCTGTTGCTCTTTCAATCTGGCCATATTGCCAGTAGAAAATTTGTAAAATGGAGGTGAGGTGTTTACTTCACTTGATCTACATCTAGTATACATTTCCTTATATTTGAATGTGGTTCTGGGGTATTTGAAAGAAAATAATTAACTTAACTGTGATAAGTAACCAAGTGTCTTTATTAAGACATACAAAAGCATTTAAAGAAATCTTTAAATTATGACAAATTGTACTGTAAACTCAGGGCCTGTATTATGGTCTAGACATACATTTACAAATGTATGTTGTTTTTACATGAAGGCAGTCAGGTCAAATGATGCTGCTGTTTATTGTTTATATCCTACATATAAAGAACCAGCCATTAAGTAAATGTATTGGATATTGTCAGATATTCTGTTGGCAGCATACTGAGAATTTCCCTCTCTAATGATATTTAGAACCTTATTAATAAAACCAGTTTATTTGACTATCTATTGTAATAACTAAACACAGCTACTGAGTAACATACAGCAGTGTAAACATGTGATTTATAACCGTCATGGTGCTGTTAATAGCTCTACACTGTGGCTTCATGTTAACCTTAAAGACTGAGATTATGAGCCGCTCAGATTTAAGACGTTTGGAGTTACAATCTTCTCACCAACGACACATCTTTTGCTCAGGTGTGTTTATAAAAATGTCACCTGGTATATCAGCATAATATTTCTGTATTGTTCAGCCATAGTGATACAAACCTATATATGTTTTATAGTATGTTCATCCACATATTCGTAATGGCAGACCATTGAATGTGGAAAGTATGTAACCATGGAAAGTAAATTATGCAGTACTTACAAGTAAAATATGCACCTCGACAAATAGTGGGACATCCAGTATTTTCCTTGAGGCTGGTTTTATTTATAGATCCAAACTTGGGTTGTAAAATTTTTATAGTGTAGTGTCTCTGCAGAGTCCTTAGCTCTCTTCTGGTCCAATCTCAAAGTAACTCTGACATTATTTTCTCAGTATGTGTATATATATATATATATAAAAAATTTTTTTTATTTATTTATTTATTTTTCATTGGTGGGTAAATCTGCTAGTGAGGTGTGTTTTGTGCTTCTCAAACGTTTTGATCCGACTTAATGATTGCTAGCCTTTGCGATTTAATCCCTTACACAGCTTCTCATGGCAAAAAACCCTACATACATCGTAAACTGGGCTTTAAATTAAAGTGGTATTTGGTCCTTAGCCAGAGTAACTGCAGAGAAGCCTCTGCGTCTTGGCACTCAGCACATGTATCTCATGAACTATAGTCATTTGTACTAACTGCGCACTTCTGTGTTTTACCGCAACCTAAAGGTCATGGAAAAACACCCAAAGATGCTGCATCAGTGCGGGCCACCCACCCTATCCCAGCTGCCTGCGGGGTCTACTACTTTGAGGTGAAGATCATCAGTAAAGGCAGAGATGGGTAAGAGCAGCCCTAAACATTCCAGACATACACATTACTTTCAGCAGTGTTAATAGTTTGGGCTCATAGATGACAGTGAGTGGTTCATAAGCTGGTTAGGTAAACTGTCGAAAAAATTTGAAACTAGCAACCTGCAACACTGCAAAAAAAAGAATGCAAAAAAATATTTGTGGTTATTTTTGTTTGAAACTAGACAAAAGCAATAAGCAGAGGGACCATGAAGAGACAAACTTGTTCTTAGGTGTGCTGGCCCACTCAGTGTATCAAATAATAACCAATAAAATTACCTCCAATTTGATCAAACTTCTTTTAGAGTAAAACATTTAATAGATAGCCTGGATATAAAACTGATTAAGAGCCTGCAATGTCTTCCAAAAAATAAGTGCAATTTTGCCCCATTCAGCAAAGCTACTCTCATTACAGCAATGCACAAGCAGCTCATTGTCAGATGCTGCTCCTCACTCTTCTCTGAACAGAGCAAACGAAGAGCGAGTCATGTCTGCAGCAGGAGAGAAAGATGCTGTGTTCACGAGGAAGTAGTGGCAACTGTTCATCTACAAGTAGGATGCAGTCCATGGTGACAAATATTGTTGTCATATAGACTGTATAAAAGATGGGCACAGCGCTGCGGTCCTAGAAAATGAAACCAGTGCTTTAAAGCTGCTTTCTTTTTAATGGCCACCAGGGGGCAACCCTTGTGGTCACAAAGGGACATTTTCTAAGTTGGTGTCGGCAAAAATGTGAAAACAAAGTATTCATACCAGGCGTTCACAAACCAGTGTGGGACCCACAGTTGGTACATCCAACCTTTATTCCGTTTGCCTGGTGTTGGATGGTTAAAGTTGCAGAACAGCTCAAAGGAATCGGTAAATGTAGCAATAAGTTCGACTAGGTGACCAAGGTGAGAGGGTAAATAGTTGAACACTGGGGGAAAAAAAACCCCAAACAGTCATAGGAATGAAATTGGCTCTACCAGCTGTGCATGCTGGTGTGTTCATGTATCAGTATGTAAATGGAAAACTGCACGTTTGAGTAATAATCCAGGACTGCTCAATGTCACCACCTTGACGTGCTTATTTAAGGATGTTGGCATTAAACTTGTAGTGGCCTCGTGCTGTGCACTAATGCTCATGCAGCAATGCTAAGGCATGTGAGGTTGAGAAAATGAAAGAACAGCTTTTTCTGTTTTGTGGTTGTTTTTTGGTTTTTCCTCAGTCATGCCTGTGACACTCATTTATCATGACTGATGAACTTCTCATTGGGAATGATAAACCTTTTGTTGTTGTTTTTTTACAAAGTGAATAGTTGCTGAAAGTATAAAGTCCAAATAAGTGACAAGTCTAATCTGGGTTTACATGAGCCGTAATCCTGCAGCGTTTTGCCTTGTGGAGTGTAATTGTTGTTTGGTCCTATGAGAGTGGGAGGTTGAGATAAAGCAGTTCAGTTTCTCTTCTCTAGAAAGTCCTGATTTTTTTTTTTTCCTCTTGCATTGTTTTGTGTTCAATCAGAAATGATTTAAATTATGTCCTCCAGTTAAATTCATTTTTATTCTCCTTTTATTCTCCTTTGGGTCATGCCTAAAATTCTTAAAGGGTCTAAATGGCCATGTTTGGGAGCGTCTTTGTAAAACTTCCTAAATAATTTCATAAAAAATATTTAGGAAATTATTTTCTAACTGTTCAAGACTCCAGCCTGTAAACTGTAATGAATTCTTTGGATATCCATTATCTTAAAAGTCACACATCATCATGTTTAGGTACCACATGTCCTTTACATCAAAAAGGATTTTAGAAATTCGTACGAGAAGACGGCAAAATAATGAACATGATTAAAATCTTCAAAGTGCCTCAGGTTCATTCGTAAGACATCAGGCATTCCCTGGTTGTTTGTAACCAGTTGGTCATGCTTGACCCCAGATAAGTAAAAAAGTGTTCACATTTAACTGAATTTCTATAATGGTGTTTGGAACAAACACCATTATAGAATGGTGTTTGTTCCAAACACCATTCTTGTGTTGGAACAAACACAAGGCTAAATATGTGTTTCAGAAGTTCAAATGTTTAAAACCTTTTCAGAAGTGGTTTTTAGAACATAGTTGGACTAGCAGCTTTGCTTTACATCTCAATTACTCTGTCACTCCAGCACTACAATCAGAGAGAAATGCATGCATCTCTACTAACTTGTGATTATTCTGCTGTTTTCATTATTTCAAGTAATAATTTTTGAATTCAAATATAAGAAATAGGATTTGGTAAATTATGGCTTTAAATGTGCCAGAAAAATACATCTAAATCTGTTTTCTTGGCTCAGAATGAGCCAATGGAGGGGGGGGGGTGTTCATACCACAAAGGTAGATCTTTTTGGGGGAAACAAAATTATAATATGTTCAATTAAGTTAACAAAATGTGTATATTAAAAAAAACAACTTCATTACATTGTGTGTGTTGAATATTCCTTTGTTTATAGCCTTTTTTGAGGATGCCAAATTTGTAGGGGTTTGCAATTTTTGCATAGATCAGCCATGCAATGAAAAAACTTGATATATAAATCAGTGGCAGCTTCATTCTCTTCATTACTAAATGAAATGTTCTATGTTTTCTTTCTTTCTTTTTTTTTTTTTAACTTCAGATCTGGTGACTACATTTACAATCCCATGACATTGAATTGTAATAATTTCTGTTACTCATCAATAACCACATTAATGTTAGCTTTTGCCCTCATTGAACAATGTTATGGTAGCCCTTGTCATGAACTTAAATTATTAAAAAATAAATGACATTAACCTAATTAGACAGACACCATTTTGAAGAGATTACGTATGTGAGAAATTGGTGTTTACCGTGTTGAATGTAGCTTGACATGAGCCATGTCTGTCTGTGGTATGATTGACTTCAGCTTACATGTGTAAAATGGCTTCTTCAGTCTCTTTCTGCATAAACGCACAGCTTAACTCTCGCCTGTCTGTCCTACAGGTACATGGGTATCGGCCTCTCAGCTCAGGGTGTAAACATGAACAGACTCCCTGGTAAGTTGACATATTTTGTGCATTTGTTGCTGCTGTCTTTTGGTGTCTTTATCTGTTATATTCTACACTAGATATGTCTGGGATTTCTGTGGGTGTCATCTTGTCTGAACATAACTACTAGAGATTAGATTTGGATAAACTGGTTGGAGCCGTGACTGAGTCTGTTCATTGTGGTTGTTAGTTAGAAAAATAAAAGAAAAGGAAAAACAAGTAATATAAAAAACACAATTCAGATCCTTACGTAGGCTTACTGGGAAATCTTCTATAAGGTCAACAAGGCTTTAACGTTTTAGTCAACCTGTTTTAGGATTATGTTGCTATACAAAGGCTTATAGAAAAATGAAATAAAATTGAAATTGGTTGCAACCAGCATGGAAAAATTGAAGCCAAGTTCCTATGTTGAGAATTGATACCTGTCAGGACAAGCCAAAGGGTTTATATCCAGAGATCTCAGTAACGTGTTGTGTAGCTCTTGAGTGAGGAGCAAGGATGAATACTCTACTGAGCTTTTATGTATAGTTCAGGCCAAGGTGTTGTGTCGGCATATCGAAAGTGGCTAAATGAAGATTTCTCGTTAGTTTGCTCATAGTGGCCTAAAGCATCTTAACTTTGATGAAACTGCCAAAAAGGATGTCATAAGAAATAAGTCTGTTAACTAATTATTTAAAAGCTCATAAATTATACAAAAGCAGACATTACCAACATAAACACCAGCCTATGAATAAACACGATCAGTAGCTGAAATGTTTATTTTATATTTGTAATTATTTATTTATATAAATATATTTTTCCTGTGAGGCTGTGGAGGACATGTTGCCCCCCCCCTCGCTAACCTCACAGTTTTCTGCAAAGCACAGGCCTCTGGTGGGTGGAAAGTTTAAGATTATCACTGTGTAATCAGTATATCCTAAGGTGATGTTTGACCTTTGTCATGCTCCCTTCCAGTATTTTTTTTTCCCGTTGTCTGTTGATTACACAAGTGTTGTGCTTAAAAGCATTCTCAGTGTATGCACTCAATCATTAACTCGTATCCATGATTGTTGGAACAAGAACTTTTTTTTTTAACATTTGTACAATTAGGTGTAATAAAGTTGTTGTTTTGGATTTTTTTTTGAGCTGCTTCAATGTTTTAGTGAAGTCAGAAACCAACACATGAGGTAATGAATTTTGATGGTACAATAAAATGTCATGAATATCATCATTAATTGGACGCTGCAGACGTCAACCCTACGCTCCCCTGAGGTTATCAGGCCAAACAGGAGCCCAGATACCCCATCACCAGTTTGAAAGCTGGACCCACCCAGGAGCTCCAGTCTCTTCACACAAAGATAACAGCAGGCCTAGTGCCAACCGCACAGTCTCAGCTGATGGATAGATGCTAATGAAAACTCAGTAATTGTGAAGAACTGATGCCAGAGTGCTGCTGAGTTGAGTACTGTCCTGCAGTGATGACTGTGGAAACGGCAGGATTAATCCTGCTGCTCGACAGTAACTCACTGGATCCTGCCACATGGTTTCTAATGTTAAAACAGCCCCAAAGTCCTGTGTGCTGCAGCAAAGGCTGCATCCCCTTAAGTCTCCCTGAGAAACAAGTACTGGGCAAACACAGAGTACTCCAGGTTTTAATACACACAGGTATTCTGTTCACATTAAACCTTTGCTCATCAGTAATTTTCTTTCTTCCATTTTATGCTCAATACAAAAAAATATTTATTTTCAGTGAAATAAGGGGCATCACATCAAAAATGGCCTGCAGTCTGCAGAAGGTTAAACAAAACAAAGAATTGAAGGTTAAAAATGCCACACAAAAATCTCCCAATTCTGGGAGTACATCCAGTTTTCTGGAAGAAACTGAATGAGCTATGTCTTTCTGCAGTCAGCATGAAAGCAACAGCAAGCTGTTCCACTGATTGAGAATACTGATTCCCCAGGTTCAGTTCTCATAGTGTCCTTGAGCAAGGCATTGAATCTTGCAGGTTTGTGCTTGCTGGCTCACGGTACAGGGCTGTGGGTGAAGGTGTGGACACATACATCTGCCTTTTTTCTGTTTTAAGTGAGGATATTTCAGCTCTACTGCTCTCAGCACTGTGTGATTCTTGATCCAGGTCATGATATTACACCAGCGTTTACTGAAGCGTTGGAATTATGACGTCACATGTCTATTTTTAGACTTAACATGCGAATTTCTGGCCTAATAAAGTTTGGTGATAGGGACATGTCTGTAAATACTCACAAATGTTAGAGTTGGGTTTAACTTTCAGCAGATATGAAACATCTTGGTCCAGCTATTTTTTTGTTTGACAGCTTTTATTTCATGTCTTATTTGAGGAAATCTAATAATTAGATTAAAAAAGAAAAGAGTCAGCACTCAGAGAATCCCACTTGAAATCTGGGAGAACGCTGCCAAAGCAAAGATGAAAATCCTTTTATGACCATATTTTAGGGCATGTATTTAAATCAGACTTTACTGATGATTCTACACGTGTGACCATTAATATTGAAGTGTAATTTAAATAACACTTCGTAAATATGTTCCCAGAGGGATTTTAAGATTGCTGCTGAGTGGCAAGATTCCTTCATAAAGGTTTTGACGCTGCCTCTCCGGTTTAATCACACTGCGTTCGAACCATTTTGGCGGCCTGCTCACAGCACTGTTGTCCTCCTCAGTAGCGTAGCTTTTGGTGTGATTTGTCACAAAACAAATTTTGAAAACATTATGTTGTGTTTTTTGATCTCCCGTGTCATCAGTGCCAGTATGCTTCTAGTTCAGTCATATTTACAATACTTATAGGGGCCACATTGTACTTCTGATCCTAGAGCTGAGTAATTTAAACTGACGTATTGCTTTAGGTTTTCTAAAAACAAATAAATAAGTAAATAAATACTGACATGTAGCACATGTAGGAGGAGCTCACTGTTTGTAACGCTGGCCCTTGGTGACAGGTACCGTAAAAGCTACAACATGTGAGGAGGTGTGTGTAAAGTTGTGTATAGGCTTTGCCTATAACTAACCCACAACTGTGTTCAACCGTAAGAAGTTTCTCTGTGTGACTAATCAGCTGCAAAGTATATCATTATTTTACAGCACTGTACCTTTTAATGTGGGTTTGTAGGAATATTCATATTGTGAGACTTGACCATTATCATTCAGCCCTCCTATGGGCTGTGTGTGTCTGTCCGAGTTTGTCTCTGTGTTTCTGTGTTGAGTCTGAGATTCTAACAATTGCTGCGTTTTAACACTTTTTCATCTCATGTTCTCACACTTTTCATTTGCATCGCTGCAGGTTGGGACAAGCACTCTTATGGTTACCATGGAGATGACGGCCACTCCTTCTGCTCGTCTGGCACCGGGCAACCTTATGGACCCACGTTTACAACAGGCGATGTGATTGGCTGCTGTGTTAACCTCATCAACAACACCTGCTTCTACACAAAGAATGGCCACAGCCTAGGTACAGAAAATAATACCCAATAATGCTGCCATGCAGTGGTCTGTGTATTAAGTTGCAGAAGGACTGCAGTGTTTCCAATATATTTTTTATCAATGTTTAAACAGAGATGACATTTCTCTCAATAAGAGAGAGATGAGTAACAGTTTTGTTTTTTTAAATAAATAGTTGGCAATCGCGCTTGTCCACTATATTTTTCCCACTGCTTGCCCACTTGTGTTTTGAAAGTTCAAGTGCTGCTAACCAGTTAGCTCCAGCTCTTCCTGTCTTATCTTTCCCCTAATGGCTGGCTCACTGGCCAGGTTTTTGTTGGACTGTAATATTATTCCCCTCCTTCCCCAAAAGGATCTCAGCCTGCAGCACCTTGAACTGCAGCTTTTGAAAGTAGTCTTGCTTCTGTCCTGTCGCGCTACTGTAAGCTGGATGGTTACTCTGACCAGAAGCTGCGGTAGATGGAGGATTGGCTCACTTATGTCCCTTTTATACCACGCTCACCAAAGCTTTGTAGTTGGAGACTTCCAAAGGAACTTTGATTACATTTGTGTAGTTATTTATTTCTCACAAAGGGATTGGAAAATTTAATATTTTCTGAGGAGAAACTTTGCCATGATGTAAGCTCATTTTACAAACACGGCTGTAATAGTTTCACAGAAGTTGTGAGCCAAACACAAAACAAGAGGCCACTGCAGCAAGTCCAGCTTGTGATATATTGCTTTTTTTTTTAAGTTTTGCATGTTTCTATGAATTGTCTTGTTGTTGTTGTTATTTTAAATAATCATTCTTTGTTAATTAAATGTCTCTGATGTTTTTTGCTCTTTTTTTGTTTTAAATTATTTTTTCCACTTTACTGCACAGCAAAGAAATGTTACAAAGTTCGATAGTAAAAGCAATGTAAACATATATTTATGTATGTATGTTCTTCATAATATAAGCATCCAGCAAATCTGTCAAAAAGCTTTTAATGTGAAGGCTTTGCAATACTTTGTATAATTTAAAAATTACATCAAATTTGTATTTTTTAGATAATGCTTTAGTGATAATTTCCTTCATGATTAGAAGACCGGGTTCACAGTTAAATCTGTTGGGGAGACAGTCTTTCTCGCTTATGTGACATTTATGAACTGCAGCAAGATGACAGTAACCAGATTACCTCAGCACATGTAAACACACGAACTGTGGCCTCACGCTGTGTGCAAAAATGGAAAGTACTCTTGTTTTTCATGCTGACTGTTTCTCTCTTCCTCTGCAGGTATTGCCTTCACAGACCTACCAGTAAGTACTGAGATTTTCTTCACTCTTTGTTGTAAAGTAATCTTTTCCATAATTAGCACAGCTGTAGGAGATGATGCTATTTATGGAAATTAAATGTGTCATTTCCTGCAGAATGTCCACTGCAGTCAAAATGTTTAATCATGCAAAATGGATTAGAGGCTGGAAAACTCGGGAGCTCCGAACACACCGTCAGCTTTTCTCAAACACTGTCAAACTGGAAGGCCTTTCTTCTTCTGTCACATCTGTAGTGATTGTGGTGTCTGTGTAACCTTTGGCTAAAGTTTCTTTGGCTTTATCCAACCATAAACAGACACTTGAGTGTTCTCTATTAAGAATTTATTATGTGTTTAAAGCAAATGAAGTGTACTTTCTGTATTTACGTTATGAAGTTCAGAGGTTCACATTTATTAGGAGGCTTTAACTCAAAGTTGTCAGGTGTTTGACACAGTAAACTGCTTTATATAACACTTTTTGTACTATGGTTTCATTTTTTTTTCCACAAATGGATGAACAGAGTTGCATTAGTAAAGCATCTAGTGCAGGTTGTAAGCTTTGAAATGTGGGGGAGAAAAGTAGAACGTAGAAAAATTGAAAAACAGCAAAACAAAGCACAGTTTTTAAAAAATTATATAAATTGATATTAGCAGGAATATCTTTACTGTGTATAAAATGCTTCTTATGTGGCACTGATTTCATTATCTAATTATTTTATTGGCTGGACCAAAAAAATTAAACTGAAGACTCCTAAATTTAAATCTCAGGGACGACTCTCAAAGTAGAAAGAAGCTTTTTAAAACAAAGTCAGCAGACTTTATAAGCTGTGTTTTTGTTGTTGTTTTTTTCCCTCACAGAGTTCACTCCTGGTGACAGTTAATTTGATAATGCTTCAAAGTAGCTGCTTAATAAATGTCTGAAGAAAGTATTTATAAAAAAAAAAAAAAGTTTCTTTTAAGCTGCTGTAAACTTGCTGTTTGATCCAGATCTTCCATCAGAGTCATGTTGACACATTTTCCACTTTCATTTAGTGGGGAAAACAGCTTGAAAGTTTAAAAACTATTTACAGTGTATGAGCCAAATGCTCATGCTTCTTTTTTGTTTTAAAGGGGTTTTTTTTTCTACGATTTGCTGTGTATTGTGTCAGACAGAGGAGATAACTGTAATATTGCCATCTCAGGCACACAGCTGTGAGCACAGAAGCCCCAACCTCCTGCTGTTTAAAACTTCTGTTTGTAAGCAGCAGCGAACCACAAATGGTTTGCCCCAAAGGGGGAGGAGCTAAAATGTTTTGTTGCTTTTGTTTTGTTTGTTTTGCCCAAGGAGCTAAGGAGCTGCACCAAGAACGTCCAAGAGTATGGAGCTAGACTTGAGAATAATGGCCCACTTTTTCAAATGGAACCAGAGTTTTGAGTACTCCTTTGTTTCTTAACAAGGCGACACGGTCAGCTCCTATTCTTCGTTATGTGAACGACTCCCACACCCACTGGGTCTTGATTCCAGTGGGATTCATGCATACGTTACCAAAGTTGGGATGTTTAGGGAGACACTTGTTGCTTGGTTGGTAGCAAATGAAAACGGGTGCCGGCTGTTATTGAAGAAGAAAAATAAGAGTCTTAGCTAAAACAATAATCCATTGAGCAGCCAAACAGACTTGGATGTGAGCCAGACATTCATGTTCCTCCAGAGCTGTGCAGTGAAGTGCGTCACCTCGACGCAGCTGACCTTTCTGGTTATTGAACCATGACAAAGACAACTGTGAGAGACACACACAGCTTTGTACTGCTGTTCTTATGTGGGCTGTTATCAGCGGTGTTATTCCCAACTCCTAGCCTAAATCTAACTCTAAAAAAGTTTAGTGTTTTGTAAAGTTTTTGTTGTTTTTCTTTTCTTTTTTTTTTACATTTTGGTATTTCGGTATTAATTTATTTTAAGGACACTTGCAGCGATCCAAACACAACACGGTGAATGTGCCTTGCCACCAGTCACCACTGCCTCTGATTAAACCAGAGCTCTGGTGATTGGTAGAATAGTAGAACAATACATCCAGATATGCAAATCTTAAGTGTTTTTCATTTAGCTCTGTCTGATTACGGTCTGTCAAATCAGGGATTTATATTTAAAAAATAAAAAAAACTTTTTAAAACAGTTTTTGTTCCAAAGTCAGCAAACCTTTCAGTGGCTTTTTATCACAGATTCTGTACTTGCAGTTTTTATGGCTGTGTGATAAGTGAAATTTAACTCTGGTGCTGCTTCAAAATAAGTGCCCAGAGACATTTTAAAATGCCAGCTGAGTGAGTCTTGTTTCTGGAAAGGCTTTGGCTGAAGTAATTGAGCTTCATCGCTTTCAGTGCTCCCATACTTTCTACTTTTTATTCACCAGTACTCATGTATAGTGCTGTTGCTCATTAAATCATAATCAGAAATCATACAACAATTTGGATTATGTCGTGTTGGAGTGTAGAGTCCTCCTTGTTTAACATCAGTAGTTTTCCAAAACTGTGTATTAGGGAGCTGCACTGTTAGCACGTGGGATTGCTGTTTCCTTGGTCTGAAAAACAAATGAGGTTTTTAATGAAGTTACAGGTAACAACAGGAATAAGCTGAAAAATAAAATGAGAACTGCTGTTTAGTTTGGGTAGTATATCGGTAGATGTTGCCATAAGATATGCTCCATAGCATCAAATGAGTATTGAACAGCAGTCAAAGATGATTGGCAGAAAATAAACACAGCAACCTTTCAATGACCGAACCCAGTTATATTATAATTAAATCATATTAATTGTTCCCCTTCACAGTTCAATATGCTTCAAATTGTAAGACAAAGAGTACCCACCAGTATTCCTTTATTATTTATGTCTTCAGTTGAAATTAATTTGCTCTAGGCTGAGTGCAGTACGTGGGACAGAGTCAATAAACAGGACTATGAAGTACTAGTAGTGTATTGGAGGACAAACTAAAATTTAATAAAAAAAAATCATAAAATGAAGTGAAATGCACAATAATCAAAAAGATCTTTGCTGGGTTGTTGACTGACAGAACATTTTTTTTAGTTCTGTCTATAAAGCAAAATTAATCAAAAGTCAAGTATTTGGAAGTGTCATCAATTCTGATGAAGTCAGTTCAGCAATCAGCTGATAGTCATATTATGGTCAGTGAGTGCGATAAGGCCCCCCCCCCCCTTTTTTTTAAACGACGCTGTGAAAACAGGCTGAGCTCTCTGTTCAGAAGATGCACTGTCAGCATCCTACCACGTATGAGCTTTGTCAGCTACTAAAATCACATTTTAAGGCGTAATTGCAGACAAAAGCTTATTTCCTGAGATTTTCCGTTTTCCTGTTTTTACCCTTCATTGTTTCTTCCTGTTTTGATTAATTGTCCAGATTGCATTCCAGACTCCGTTTCCTCTATCACTCTTACCTCTCTTTATCGCTCCCTGCTGCAGCCTAACTTGTACCCGACCGTGGGCCTTCAGACTCCAGGGGAGGTGGTGGATGCAAACTTCGGGCAGCACCCATTCGTGTTTGACATTGAAGACTACATGAGAGAATGGAGGACAAAAATTCAGGCCCAGATTGACCGCTTCCCCATCGGAGAGCGCGAGGGCGAGTGGCAGTCCATGATCCAGAAGTAAGAGAGTTAGAAGGCTCAAATTATTTGCATGTAGTTTAAGCTAAGTACATTTATTTTATTTATTTTTAACTGTGGAATATTAGACTTGCCATGCTTTGTTCACTTATGTCTGCCCAGTGATAAGGTGCCACGAGGATGACTTCTTAGGTTAAGAATAACCAGACTCAGGAAAAAAAAAATAACTGCGAAAATTGTGGAAAACGAACTTTGCAGGAAATGAAAGATTTTGATATGTCCATTTTTAAAAAGCTGTTTTTTATTTTATTTTTTTATTTTGTATTTTGTATTTTTTCAGCCAGATGGTCTCCAAATAGATGTCCCTATTATGATTTCAGAAGTTTAAGTACAAGTAGGAGAAGTGAAAAGTTAATCTGTGAATATGTTTCCTATACCAAAGCTTTATACATGTGATGTTACCACCACGTGGCTCCTAACGTGTGAGTGAGCCATGCTGAATGTTCCTTACATCTTCCACACATTAGAGCAAAAGGGGACTAACCTGACCTATTTAAGGCTCATGAGGAACAGTGTTATAATGTTCAGTTTCTTTGTTGTACACGATTGTCAAATCTCAAATTTTATCTGCAAATTTAACAATTTTATCAGGATACAGAATAGCAAGTCTTAATCAACAAATTTAATATCTGATACAAGTGATGATTTTATAGCCCACTGAAATAAAGACCATTTTGTTTAGCACAATCTTACTGGTTTGCTTATTAAAATCCATACATGCTTATGAATGTGTGGATTAAAGGACTTTCATGGTTAAGTACATTTATGTACAGATTTGACATCATATTTGGCACTTTAACTCTCACTTCTGCTTAACTGCTTGATGTAATGTGGCAGAGCTAGTTGTAGCAGACATGGAAAACCATACGGAGAGTTATTACCATCATTACTCCACATTTCACAGCTGATTGGATTTTAACTAGACCATAAATGGTTGAAAGTGCTGGTTGTTTCAGTAGTACCAGCGGCATATTGACCAGATGGAGGAAAAGGGAGTATTTGACTTTGTGACCTCAAGGTATTCTTCTGCATAAAACCAGCTGCCTGCTTCTCCTAAGTTAACGCCTTTGCAGGGTCTAAGTACTGGCTATTTTTATGCACTTAAACACACACTGTTACACACTGTTGTTTCACAGATAAAGTTAATAAATAAATAAAGGTTGTAATATAAAACAACTCTTACTTCTGTTTTCCTGTTCAGCTAGCGATGTTGGTGTGGGTGCATGAATTACTTGTTCTAAGTATAAAGTTCCTCTTGGTTCAAATGGGTGTGAAAGTGTGTTTTACAAGTTGTATAGTCGCAGTTAACTGCTTATCTACTGACAGAGTTATGGTGACTGCAGTAGGTCTCACACGGTGTTCATGTCACACAGACACACACTCAGGCTTGTTATCTGACTGTTTTAGCAGTACAATCATTTACTAATTCATGCTTACATGAACAGGAGACAGCTGACCAGAAATTTACATTCATGTTGGATCCAGAGCTTTTGATCAGTTATTGTAGACTGAACAGTGTTCATCTTGTATTGGCTAAATGAAAAAGTCTTAGAAGGATGCTGTAGGTGACAGGACTACTACTAACATGAAGAGCATCAAGGCCCCGATGGATTGTTCCTCATCGAAGAGCTGGAGCTGTGATTCAGAAGGGAAAGATGCAGGGCTTGGTTTCCCTTCAAGCTGTGGCCTGGCAGGATTAGCTCTCTGTTGCTATGATTACTTGTCCTGAATGGATTTAAACTCCATTTGATGGGGATTGGAGTTGGGGGTGGGAGTGAATAAAGGGACTTATTGCCTTTATCCAGATGTCGCCTCACAGGCAGGAATAGAACCAAGAAGTTTCTGATCTTACACCAGTGCAGTGTATTGTCTCTGTGGAACAATGGTAGCATGATGATCAGCCGGTGAGAGTGGCATTATCTCGTCATATAACGGCCTGAAGCATGAAGTTTGGTTTAGCTCCGCTGCACTGAGGGAACTCGTCATTGACATAGTAATGGGGTGTTTGAGTTTAGCCGTGCCTCTAATTTGATTAATGAAAAGTCAGACACATACACTCAAAAAACATACCATGCTCATATTCATCTGCATATTTTTATTCTTGAACTCTGCCAGAGTAGCTTTGCATTATTCAAATTTCAAAATAATCCTTATGTATATTATCCTGGTCATTGCGGTAGCACCTGGGAACTTTCTATTGTCTGCCCTGGATAAACAGAATTTGAGCAGTAGCTGAG